AACTATTGTTAATTATCGGAGATAAGACTATTAATTTAGCTAAAATTATGAGTGTTCATGAGTTGGTCCGGTCCAGCTGTAGGCTATTTGGTCAACCAAATTGACCTTGTCAGGTTGGGGAGTTGGTAAGCTGAAACCGACTGACCTTTTGTGAAAACCGACCCACTCAAGTTGTATCGGTTTGGGTTGGTTTTCACAAAAGGCTAGTTGGTTCAAAAGATTTAAACTTAAAAATTTAATTTGATTTTAAAAATTATAGTGCAATTATTAAAAAAATAAATTTATGAAATAAAACATTTTAGACTAAGAAATATGGGAAATTTTTTCACTTTTTCATATTAAAAATTATATTTAAAATATAAAATATTAATATATATCCATGGTTAGGTTGTTCGCTTTTGGTTGGTTCACAAATGACCAAAGTGAAACTAATCCAACTTGGTCGAATTGGGAAATTTTTGAACCAAAGCCAACCTAAAATACTAGAAAACCGACCAATTCGGGTCGAGTTGGTCGGTTTCATAAGTTTGATGAACAAACCTAACTGAAATTAATTATAGTTATTTTTGTATTATAAAAATTATTAAAAGTAGTATATAAAATATGGATAATTATTAATTAATTAGAAAGTTGAAATTATAAAACAATTGTATACTCTTATGTGTTTCTATTAGGGTCATTTACTAGAACCAGGGGTGGATACAAATCGAGCTTTTCATGAGCTATTCGATCTCGGCTCGGCTCGGTCCAGACCGAGCTTCAAACCGAATTTGAGCTTGAGTTCCAAGCTCATTTTTTAATCACGTCGAGCTCGATTACTATGCAATTTGGTTTGTTAGGCTCGCGAGCCTATTCAAGCCCTTTATATATATATATATATAGTTTTTATATTTATATATAATATTCATATATAATTTATATTTAATTTTATTGGTGTACACACACTTATATTGTGGTCCCTATTGTATCTTAGATTTTCTTACTTTGTCTAATGGGATGGGAGATTGTGAGGGAATGAAAAAACGCTCATAACATTCGATTGAAACTTGGAAGTCTTGAACTRCCAAACTGGTTTGAGAAGTGAGAGAGAAGACTGAGAACACGAAAAGTCACAGTCTCACTAACAAACAGAGAGCAAGTGCGAGTGTGCAACAAGTGATGACGCTGCTGCCGAAGAGGATTACCTATAGTCTGCGACTCTGTGATTCCGAGTCTTCTTCTTCTTCATCTTATTTCTAATTTTCTTATGTCTTCTACAGGGACTTTGTGGTTCCGGTTCATCTTGCAAGTTGCATCCATGCCATTAAAAATGTATTTGAAATCTGTAATTATTATGGCTTCCACAGGGATTTCAATTCATCTTGCAGATTCCTTTGTAATTTTTAGTGTGGTTAGTTTTTTTTCTTGATTCGTTTCTAGTTGTTTTCTGTTATAATATGTTTTGAGATTCCTTTGACTTCTTAGAAGGGATGAATGATTACCCATGCCATGTTTCCAGTTTCTAAATTTTTTTCTTGATTTATTTCCAGTTTATAATTTCTTTTTCTTGATTAGTTGAAGAATAATAACATTAATTCTGATTTTTCTACAACTCATTTTTCAATTAGAAAGTTGTCTCCCATTGTGACAAATTAAATTATGACTATCAAACTGAACCTGGTCCACGGTGTAGATGGTTTGCCACTTGGCTCATTTTATTAATAAAATGATCAGTTGATCACCCTCACATAAAACACGTCATAAGTGAGTCTAAATGTATGAGGCACCCATACCAAGGACCAAATGGTATATCTCACTGACAATTTAACCTTATCTTCATGCATGGCTACTTTTTCTTTTATTTTACTCTTGGTTAGGGTTATTTTGTTCTCTCATAAACTGAAGTGAAGAAAATGAATGGTTTTGATCAGAAATTTTGATATTTTTCTATTTTGGTTTCAATGTAAAATGTTTATGGAAAAAAATCATAATCTGTTTCCCAAAAGAATTTTTCATACTTGTATAGCCTTTGAATGAATAGGGCTGGGTTGGATTAAAGTAGTACCTCCAAAATTTCTGTAATAATTAAGGGTGGATCTGATTTGAAGGAAAAGGGGAGTTGGAATCTGAATTGAAATTGCCCATTCTAATTCTAACCATTTGGTTGGGCCAAATGGGATTTCAATTCCCATGAGTAAAGTTTATTTATATGTTTATAAGTTTATTTATCCTGAAATTCATGAGTTAACATATAATAGCTAGTTAACATTTTTTAAGTTTTCCACCATATAAATGTTTGTTTGACATTCTTAAAAGGGACATCATATCTAAATGCATATATGAAATTCATGCTGCATGTTCCAATTTGGTATAAGCTTTTTAAATTTTTATTTCTAAAATAATATTGAGGTTGGTTGGAAAGCTGAGTACCCAAGGAAATCAAACATTGCATTCACAAAAATAAGTTGAGAAAAGAACTATTCTCGGGGTTGCATGAGAATGGATCATGTGATTCTTCAATATGCGCATTCTATCTTTAATTTGGAATGGGGATAAGTTCAATTTTGAATTTGCATGAATGCTTGGTTTTTGAACTTGGTAACTTATGCTTACCCTCTATTTGTATACTGTTGATCTCAGAATCTTCATGATGCAATCAAATAAGCATGTGCTGTGCATTTTATTATGGATTGAATATTCTTGTTCTAATTTCTTATGCTGAATTTGGATTCTTTTTATAAATTACATAATCAGACAAGTTGTTTTTTCTCTGAAATATTTCTCTGAAAAAATATATTTAATTTTGGGTGTTTGAAATTTTTTAGAATGCTGAAATATCCTTAAATTGAACTCAAAACTTAAATGTCAAGTATATTTATCAAAAAAGAAACTTATATGTCAACACCGATGTGTTTCTATGTTGTTGGATGACCCATTTTTATCAAAAACATGTTAATTCTTATTAGAGAAATTTTCATAACAAGGTTTCCTTTTGTGTAGGAATGCCATCATTTCCTATCCATGATCACAACATATTATCAACAGATATTCCCTCTACCTCTATAGGACCCTTACTCTCTCATTCAGTGTCTGGTTCTTCCCATATCAATCTCATCATGGTTGACACTACTGTTGACTCTTATCGAAATAAGGCTAGTTAAACAACAAATAATGCAAGCAATCTCATTATCACTCCTACCATAAAAGGTACTCAGACCGGATCTCAGAGTCGTCACACGTGAAAATAGGGGTATTATGGTAAATACTCTCAAACTCATATACCACTTGAGCTAAACCCTCATTTCATTCCCGGGGACCCATGCGATGCATGTGATTTATTAAGTGAAAGCTAAATAATAGAAATGGTCATTTACTAAAATACCCCTTATAGTTTCATGGATTTACTAAAATCTACCCTATAGTTAGCATTTTACTAAAACATCACTTATAATTTGCAATGGATTTAATCAATCTTCCATTAGATGACAATGGAAAATGACAGTATTGACCCTAATGTTCATTTAAATAAATTTAATCAAAAGAAAATATAAATAAAAATACCATTCTTGCCCTTAATAAGACACGAGCAACCGCTTTATTGGTTATATTTGGCCAAATTTGATTTCTGTCGAAAAAAGTGTTAAGGGTATTTTTGGAATAAAAAATATGGGCGTAATGGCAAAACAAACACTCATTAATGAAAGGTTGATTAAGTAAATAAGTTGTAAAATATATGGAATGTTTAGTAAAATGAAAGCTATAAGGTAAGTTTAAATAAATATGTAAAACTATAAGATGTGTTCTAGTCAGGGGTGGATACGAATCGAGCCGAGCCGAATATTTGACTATTTGAGCTCAGCTCAACAATAAAATATTAAACTCGAATTTGGGATCAAACTCAATTCGAACTAGAAATACCAATTTGAATTCGACTTGAATAAACAACACTTATATTCAAACTCAGTTCGGCTCGAGCTCGATAATGAACTGAGCCTACTCGAGCTCGAATCGGAGCTCAATGTTTGCAACATTTCTATTTTGAGGAGATCCCCACGACCCTAACCTCCCACCAAGGGTGGAGTCTAGACAATCAAAAACATTGACCTGGGAGTGGAATCTCCGCATCTGCTACAACCATGTCTACAACAAAATCTTACAGCCTCCGAATAATTCACGGTCACACAAGTTTTCAAGTCAGTAACAAGTGGAAACTATTTCCATCGAGTATTACCAACTAAGCCATCTGGCAACTTTTGTGTCACACATTTATCATAGAATTATTATTTAAATAGAACATTTTCGAGGGAAAAGTAATGTGGCCCTCCATGTCCCTTGCATGTGGAAGAAGCTTAACTAGTCAACACACAAGACTAGAGAAAATTAAAATGGCAACATCAAAGATGGAACACTTCATTCAGACCGAAAGACCAGAATTTTGGAGACGACATTTCAACCATTTTCCAGAATTTGCTTCAATTCAATAAAGAATGAAACAGAAGTATCTTTATTCAAGTTGAACGGAGATAACTAGTTTTCTTTAATATTTTCTTTCAGTCGCCTCCATAGACTGGTGTACAAGCAAATGAAATTTCAGTTTTTGAATCTTGGACAGTGGTGCCAAAAGCATGCGATCAACTCGAAATGTGTATCATTTGTTTTAGTCTAATTGGATGAATGCAACCAAGTAATCTGACTTGTCATTTTGTCAATTGGACAATGCAAAAGCATCTATTACAACTTGAAATTATTCTACAAATCAGATGGTCAAAAATGCTTACTATCTGCGTTAATATATAGTTTAGGACTCAATTTAGATGCAAGTTTTCAAAACAACCATTTCAAAATTTTCCACGACTGTTTTCGTGGAGAAAAACTTAAAAGATTAAAGCTCTTTCAACTTAAAAGATTTGCTCAAGTGGCAAAATTGCAAAACAGTGGCATGTTTTAAAAGTTTAAAGAATAATTAAGGATAAAAAAGTCTTTTTATCTAAACGGCAAGAATTATATTTTAAATAATTGACAGATAAGAATATACCTTTGAAAAGGGAGAGAGAGAGAGAGAATATCATATCTCGTGCCTTTGTTTCAAGAAAGGCAAAATCAGCGATCATGGAATCAAAACCTTGGCCTTCCCTGTGTGGCTCTTCACTCTACCTCTACTTGTACTTTCCCTTTATCTGTCTCTGCTTTCACCCTATCTCGGTATTGTCTGCCGCAGGAAAGCCATATACAAATACTGCCCTTGCTTCACCAACAACTCCTCAGCTCCGTTTCCGCCGAAATGGGGAGTTCAAGATCCTACAAGTTGCAGATATGCACTATGCTGATGGAAAAACAACACTTTGTGAAGACGTATTGCCGGAACAGGTGGCTACCTGCTCCGATCTCAACACAACCGCCTTCCTCGAGCGCATGATTCGACTCGAGAATCCCGATCTCATCGCCTTCACCGGTACCTTTTCGTCTTCTTTTCTCATACTCGTTGAATTTAAACTCCTCCCAACATACCTTTGTTTCTTTTCAAGGATTTAGAACAATAAATAAACAGATAAATAGATGCCGATGACTTGATAGTTGATAATTTGGCTGCTCAAGCCCATAAGAGATATAGATACAAAGTGTAGTGCTGTTCTTATGCTGACAATTACATTATAACCATGAGAGAGTAAACTCAAAAACCTGATCCATTTTCTATTTTAAATTTGTTTCGAGGAGATAGTAAGAATGAAAAACAAAACCACGAAATATAACAGATTCCGGACTCGAAGGGCTTAGTGTCTGTCACCCCTCAAGAATGTGGACCAGATTTTAAACTGTTAAAAAAATGGAAAAAGTGCCTGATCTAGCATCTAGGCGATGTAAAGCGGAAAGGCAGGCAACAATAAACATGCTGAGTGAATCGGTGAAAGAATTTTTTTTTTTGGAAGAGTGAAAGAAAAATCCTTAACTCTGCTATTGGCTGCTGAGTTGACTCGGGCGAGTTATTGAATCAGGGGACAACATCTTTGGCTTCGACGCAACGGATGCAGTGAAATCCTTGAATGCGGCATTTGCCCCAGCGATCACGTCCAAAATCCCATGGGCTGCAATTCTAGGAAACCACGACCAGGAATCCACGCTATCCAGGGAAGGAGTCATGAAACACATTGTTGGCATGAAGGGCACCTTGTCTCGGCTCAATCCTCCGGCCCACATCATCGATGGCTTCGGGAACTACAACCTGGAGGTAGGCGGGGTTGAGGGTTCTACTCTCCAAAACAAGTCGGTTCTCAACCTCTACTTCCTCGACAGCGGAGATTACTCCACCGTTCCTTTCGTTCCTGGTTATGGCTGGATCAAACCCTCGCAGCAGCTTTGGTTCCAACGCACTTCTTATAAGCTACAGGTATGTCCTTTTTTAACGTTCTCATCTTATTATTAGCTTTCACTGCACATACTTGCTTTATTGTAGACCCTTGTCCAAGCATGTTGGTACGCATCCATATCTCCCATCAGTTACTCCATTTTGTTGCTCATTTATTTATTTATTTTTGTGCAGGGAGCATACAAGAACAAACCAGAGGCCCAGAAAACACCCGCTCCAGGGCTTGTGTACTTTCACATCCCATTGCCTGAATATGCTATGTTGGACTTGTCAAACTACACCGGTGTGAGACAGGAAGGTATCAGTTCAGCTTCCGTGAACTCAGGTTTCTTTCCCACTCTGTTGGAAGCAGGGGATGTGAAGGCCGTCTTTACGGGTCATGATCACCTGAATGACTTCTGTGGGCAGTTGACGGGTATACATCTTTGTTATGCTGGAGGATTTGGATACCATGCCTATGGCAAGGCAGGATGGGCGAGGAGGGCAAGGGTGGTACTAGCAACGTTAGAGAAAACAGACAATGGGAGTTGGGGAGCCGTCAAATCTATTAGAACATGGAAACGCCTAGATGACAATCGCTTCTCTGTCATAGATGCTCAAATTCTGTGGAGTAAGAGCTCTTCAGGTAAGCTTCTTCCTGGTTATTCTATGTTTAGTTTTTCTTTTCTAAGCCCCAAAGTTATATTACAATCAAGTTATTTACTCATTTGGCATAGTTTAGAAAAATCATCTCCCACTCGGCATAATTGCAGCCTGCCAATGCTTCCTTATCATCATCTAAGCGGGTTTTGTTTCAGAAGATTGATATGAGAATTTTTAGGATGTTTAACTATCATAAAAATTATTAGGAATGTTCTTGAAATAAAAAATAAAAAATAAAAAAACATTAGCTCATGCCCCTTTACATTTTCCACTCATTTTAAAAGGTTACTAGATGAAAACATAAATGGTTCGTAATGGAAGATTAATTTAGTTGTTGCAAACTATAGGGGAGTTTCAGAGTTAGAGAATAGTTTTTGTATATATCTAAAACTATAGCGGGTGTATAAGTAATGACCCAAAAAAAGAAAAAAAAAACAGAGAATCATTTCGGATTAACTTTTTCTTTGTTTCTTCCAAGTTATGGAAGGGCTATTGCATTTAGTTTTCATTATAACTGTATTCCAATCGAAGAATTAATCAACAAACCTGACCTATTGACCGGAGCGGATTAGCTAATTTTAGGGCTGTCAATGGGTCGGGTCAGACCCGATAGACCCAATGGAACCGGACCGATTGGGGCGGTTCTGGTTCCAGAACTTGTCCTGATGGATCAGTTCTTAAAAAAATTCTCAATTATTATCGGGTCGAAACCAGGTCCACCTTGTCCAGAACCGAGTTGGACCCAATCCGATCTCTCTCTATATTATATATATATATATATATACTGTATAGAAAAATACAGTTATTAATTTATTATTCTTTTTTATTGGTTTCCTTTTTAGCAGGTTCTTTCTATTGTTTTTTGCAGGGTTTTCGTTGCATTTTAGGTTTTCACAGGGTTTTTATTGCATTTTTTAGCAGGGGTATTATTAGCATACATATCAAAATCTGGTCCATCGGGTTAGACCCGATTGTCGCAAGAACCAATTGATTCGGTTCTGGGTCCAGAATTCCAAACCCTATAAGGGTCTGGGTTGGTTTCAGGTCCACGAGTTCTCCTATCGGTTCTGAGACCGGTTCTACCTTATTCCGACCCCAAACTGACCCGTTGACAACCCTAACTAATTTGATTGTTGTTTTATTGGCTGTGGTATCAATCGTTTGTATCGATACTTTAAAAATAGATATCGGTACCCCCAAGATACAATAGCATATTGTATTGATACTTTGAGCATTGCATGGTTAGAATCTTAACATAGAAGTTTTTCCCTAAAATCTAAACATTAGAATAAAATAATATAGTCAATAGAAGTGGGCAAGTGGGCAAGTGGGCAATAATATAGGGTAAGTGGGCAATAATAAAGCATGAACAATAGAAGTTTTTCCTTTAAAGCTAAACATTAGAATAAAATAATATAGTCAAACCTTTCACGGGTATGAACCAACTATGTTTTAAGAGTAAAGCATTCTCATTTCGTTTTCTGTACGTGTATGCATTAGTAAAGAATGACCACCTATATAATGCAAAATAGATCAGGGTAAATGGGCAAGTGGGCAATAATAAAGTAAAGCATTCTCGTTTCGTTTTTTGTACGTGTATGCATAAGTAAAGAATGACCACCTATATAATGCAAAATAGATCATCAAATATAGGGTAAGTGGGCAAGTGGGCAATAATAAATCATGAACAATAGAAGTTTTTCCCTAAAATCTAAACATTAGAATAAAATAATATAGTCAAACCTTTCAGGGGTATGAATCAACTATGTTTTAAGAGTAAAGCATTCTCATTTCGTTTTTTGTATGTGTATGCATTAGTAAAGAATGACCACCTATATAATGCAAAATAGATCATCAAATATAGGGTAAGTGGGCAAGTGGGCAATAATAAAGCATGAACAATAGAAGTTTTTCCCTAAAATCTAAACATTAGAATAAAATAATATAGTCAAACCTTTCAGGGGTATGAACCAACTATGTTTTAAGAGTAAAGCATTCTCATTTCGTTTTTTGTATGTGTATGCATTAGTAAAGAATGACCACCTATATAATGCAAAATAGATCATCAAATATAGGGTAAGTGGGCAAGTGGGCAATAATAAATCATGAACAATAGAAGTTTTTCCCTAAAATCTAAACATTAGAATAAAATAATATAGTCAAACCTTTCAGGGGTATGAATCAACTATGTTTTAAGAGTAAAGCATTCTCATTTCGTTTTTTGTATGTGTATGCATTAGTAAAGAATGACCACCTATATAATGCAAAATAGATCATCAAATATAGGGTAAGTGGGCAAGTGGTCAATAATAAAGCATGAACAATGAAGAATATTAACAAAAAAACAAGTTTATTGTTCATATATATAGATGTATACAAAACAAAACATTCTTTTTTTCTTAAATTCTTTTTTAATCACATATAAACTTCATATTTAACATTAGCATACCAAATAGTTAAGGCCCAAAGCCTAGAATATTTTGAAGCCAAAGGCCCAAAGCGTTTGTATCAAATAACTCAAGGCCAAAGGCCCAGGCTTTTTATCTTACCCTCAGCTCGAGACTTAGGCCTTTGGCATTTGGCCTTGCCTCAACAGCCTTTTAAAATAATGATTATAAAATAGAATGTGTCATTGATTTTGATATGTACGTGATTAGATCTCACTTTGATGTATATGTTCACATTAAATTGAAACAGGGAGGCGTCGGAAAAGAACTTCCAATGGCCATTGAGTGGCAAGAAGAGGGTGGGAGTCGCAATTACATTTTAAAAGCAGTTTTTATAATGTGTATCACTATATTGTTCTCTTCTATTGTAGCAGTTTTACGGAAGTTTGAATGGATATTGATATTGAAAAGAAAATTTGTTAAAGTTGCGTTAACGGACAAATTATTTGATGTTCCATTTTGTGGGATGGTTGCTCTTATCCACTTTAGGAGTCATCTAGCAAAAGAGATCCTGATGACATGCGGACTTCCAGGTAGCTTAGATGGCCGGCCTTCGTAGAGGTGTCAATTGGACTGGATTTGGTCCAACCCGATCCAGTCCAATGTGAGTCCACCTACAAATGGATTAACCCAATTCAGTCCAAATTTAATTCAATCCATTAAAATGTAAATGGATTGGATTGGATCCAATCTAAACCGAATGAAATATCAAAAATTATATAAAAGCACATTTGGCATTGAAAATGCATTTTTATAAAAGTGCTTTGATAATAAGTATTTTCATAAAAGTGCTTTTACAAAAGGATTTTGTTGATAGTACTTCATAAAAGTGCTTTTGTAAAAGTACTTTTTGAAAAATACTTCCATAGATGTGCATATAAAAGTACTTTTGCAGAAGTGCTTTTATAAAAGTACTTTTATAGAAGTGATTTTGTAAATGTACTTTTATAAAAGTGCTTTCGTGTAAAAGTGTGTTTTTATAAAACTGCTTCTATAAAAGTGCTTTCATAAAATGACTTTTGTAAAAATAATTTCATAAAAGTATTTTTATAAAAGTGCTTTCATAAAAATATTTTTCATACTTACTTTTATAAAAGTGCTTTTGTAAAAGTATTTTCATAAAAGTGATTTTATGCTATCTTGTAAAAGTCTTTAGTTTTAATAAAAGTATTACTGGATTATTGGAAATTTGGTTTAGGTCCAATTCAAACCAATAAAAATATAGACCAATTTATTTTGGATTGGCCCAATCCAATAACTATAATGGACTGTCCAAATCCGGCTTGATAAGGTTTGGATCAGATTGGATCCAAACCAAAACCGATTGATTGACACCCCTAGCTCCAAGGTTACCCGCTCATGGAGATAATTGCAGCCCAACTGCCACCCTATTAAAATTTTATAATATTTTTGCTTGGCATTAATTGAATTTGAGTTTTAGGTAATATCCAATATCACTTAGGCTATGTTTGTTTTTGAAAAGATCACTTATTTGGGTAAATGTATTTATCCAAGTAAATGTTTTTTTTTTTGTGAAATACCGGGTAATTTCACTTACTCATGTTCTTTTGATTCTCAGGTAAGTTATAAAATGATCTTTTCACCCATAAAAAGACAATGTTAGAATGGACAAACTTAACCCATTATGTTTATAAACTCTCTCTAGGTGGAAAAGTTATTTACTCACTTAGGAGAGCTAAGTGATCAACAAGGAAACTAACTTTATCATCGGTCCAGAACTTACCAATAAAAGAGCACTACATATGATTCCCATTTACCAACTTTCCCCTCTTATTTCATGTAAAACAAATGGGGCCTTAAGAAGGGCATTAGGTTGTAGGGTAAGGAAGGAAAGGTAGGGAAACCTAATTTTAGAAAGGTAATTAGAAATTTTAACCTAGGTTTCCTTACCTTTGACCTAAGTTTCCCCACCTTTCCTTTCCCTTTCTTTTAAACAAAAAGCAACCTAAGGGGCTACCTAACTTGGCTAAGGTCTTAAACTGTACACTCAAACCCTTAGCTTGCATTAGGGGTGGATTCGAGCCGAGCCGAGCTGAATAGTATGAGGCTCGAGCTCGGCTCGCCAAAGTTGTATAAGGCTCGAGCTCGGTTCGAGCTAGAATGTTGAGCTCGAGTCAAAAACTCATAAGCTCGAGCTCGATTTGAGAAAAAATATTTTATAAAAATAAAAAATTATATATATATATATATATATGCTCGCAAACCTCACGAGTCGAGCTCTATTAGGCTCGAGCTTGGCTTTTTTATTAATCAAGCCTATAAATTGGGCTCGAGCTCGAGCTCAGTTGAAACCGAGCCGAGCCGAGCTTTTCACGAGTCGAGCTCGAGCAGGTCGTGAAAAGCTCAGCTCGTTGCCACCCCTAACTTTCACTAAGGAATTAAAAATAAATTTATGCGCATAGAGGGTAATTATCGGATGTTGACTCATGCTGTTGGATCTGCTATTCACAAGAAGCTGACCACAAGACACCACAATCACAAATGTTCTCGATGTACAGCTGTAGTGCCTTGTGGCCAGGATGCATTTTGCATCTTGTGGTCAACATATCCGAACTCTTAGGTTTTGGGGCTCATGAGAGTGAAAAAAAAGGCAAATTCCCTAAACTACCCTTATGGTTTAGCTAATTGACTAACTCTATCATTACTGTTTACATATTGTCTTAATCTATCCCCACTATTTCTGACAATTGACATACTAACGGAAAACAACAAAATGTTAAATTTACCAACAATTATTCCTTAAATTTTCAAAATAAAACCCATATCGTGAAAATTTTGAGGAAGCTAATGACACAAGCACATGCCTCAAATTTTTATAATTGATGCTCATCCTTATTCTTTTAGGCTGCATTTGTTTCCAGTGCAAATGCACTTTTACACCGATGGATTTAAGACGCGATGGTTTAGTGAAATTGTAAAATACGGACTRGCTATTGTAAACATTTACACTCGTCCTGTTTGGTTACATCAATGTAAATGGAAGTTACTCTGTTTTTTAGTTTGTTGCAACGGAAAATTTATCAGAGAGATAGAAAGGGATATATATATATATATATATATATATATATATATATATTTAAAGAGAGAGAGAGAGAGAGAGAGAAAGAGGGTGCCCATTTACACTTGTCCTGATTGGTTACATCAATGTAAATGGAGGTTACTCTATTTTTTGGTTCATTGTAGTGGGTGATTTACCAAAAAGGTAGAGAGAGAGAGAGAGTGAGAGGGAGAGAGAGAATTGGGGGAGGAGATTGATCAAAGATTTCTTTTCTCCTCTCAGAATCTGAGAGACAACCATCATTGGCAACGGTTGCTCGTGTTCTCTCTAGTTTTAGTTTTCTCCGCTCAGAATCTGAGAGACGACCATTGATGATGGTGGTTGCTCATGTTTTCTCCAGTTTTAGTTTTCTCCACTTAGAATATGAGAGACAATAATTGATGATGTCAGTTGCTTGTATTCACATCGGTTTTAGTTTTCTCCGCTTAGAATCTAATAGACGACCATTGTTGGTGATGGTTGCTCATGTTCTCATCTGTTTTAGTTTTCTCCGCTAAGAATCTAAGAGACGACCAATGAGGGCGACGGTTGCTCGTGTTCTCGCCGGTTTGGTTTCTTCAAGGAGAAAAGTATGAGAGGACAAAAGCCTTAGGCCATGTTTTCATATGGAGAGAGAGAGAAGTTTCATCAAGTTTAAAGGAGATGGAGTTTTACATCAATTTTATCGATGTAAACTTTTCACCAATTTTCGAGGAAAATACTAACATTGATGAATTTTTAGACCGATTTACGAGGTGTATTATAACACCTCTATCAAACACCTACAAAATTGGACCAGGGTGTTGGAAGGGTTAAGATCCATCATATGAATGGTCGAGCCATGCTAGATGGTTGTGCGAAATTTCAAAAATTTCCTAATCCTTGTGGGAATCAAATTCCCTATGTTTTGAAAAACTGTATTTTTCAGGAATGATCTTGCACTGAATCGGATCAGATTTGAAACCAAACAAAGAGGAAGATGTATACCTGATATAGATATCACAAGTGCAGATCCCAAGGTGGAAGTTCACACCAAAATTAGTCCTAAAACCAGCCTCCACTAAAGAAGGCATAGTGTATTCCTAAAGTTGGTTCAACAACATAATTTTCTACAAAACTGAGATCCAACTGCTTGAATCGAATTGAGGATGATGAGCCTGATATCCCCTGAATTTTTCTCACAAAAATTAGAGGAGAAAACTAAGCTATATCAATCCTAGATAGTTGATGTCAAACAAGGAAAAACTGGGAGAAAAAAGGGATCAAAGAGAACCAGCAACTACTAAAATATGAAGTTGTCATGGACTGGTCCGCCCCCTCCTCTTTTATAATCTCTTATAGAACTATCTCCTAATCTAATTAGGGGATAATCTAGATTTAAATTAGATCTGGACTCTAATTAGAGATATACCTTATCTTCTTATAAAATTAGAAGCTCCATACCTAGAGCCAAATCCAGATTCGTCCCATGGCACATGACAACTGCTTAATTAATCATATTAATAATGGGCCTTAGGCTCATCAGCTATAAGGTTCACGACCCAAGGGTGTTACATGATCAACTTAAGGCTGATTTGTATGGCATGGGACCCCACAATGACCTCACATAAGTTCACATGGGTTCGACCCAACCTCTAAGAAAAGGCTTGGCCGAATTCACTACTAAACGCAGTGGACCCCTGAACACATCACTATGGGCTCAATATGAGTCCAACATTTACACTTAAATGATCATTGAATTCAACCATCCTATGAAGATCTAAGAATAATGGACTTAGGTAAGATAAAGCCCATTAGATAATTAGCCATGTAATGGTCTCTTATACTAAACCTCTAGGCTCATAATGATCAAACACTGCCTAACAGGGAATGACCTCTCCCTTGGCTACAAGGTGTAGTGTCACACTCTCCACTCGGATGGATCCTGGGAGTTATAACCTTTTTCAAACATTTGTCATAAAACATTAATGTGTAAGCCCTATCGGTAGTTTAGGTTTCCATTAGAAGAAAGAGTGTAATATCATTCACTTTTTCTAACAAAAGGGCAAATCCTATAACTATGATCACTCATTTAGATGAATTCTCAGACTACCCCAACATACCCAAGTTTTGACCATTAATGGATCTCACTGATTGGCATATCAAAGACAGTCCAATCCAACACCTAGTGCAGTACCATAATCAAGTTTAGGGGTTATGTGTAACTTTCCAGTTTTTCCCATCAATCTCTAAGGTCTAGGGCATAATTGGAAAATGGTTTGGGTTCATTGTTTCATCCAAACACACTACATGTGCTTTAGGTCTAACCCTAACAATTGAGACAAGCTACTCCAACTTCTTTAGCAGCACATTAATGTTAGCCTTGGTAGGATAAACTCCCTAAATCTATCTAACGAGTG